TCACAACACAGATCATGTGTGGGCTTCAGGGCGCCGGGTCCGTCTTGAGGGTTTGAGGGTTTGGGCACGTTTGCTTTTGCTTGAGGGGGGGGGATTTGCAAGCTTTTTGTTGCTCCAGCAGTCCTTACACTTGAACGGCTGTGGCCTCAAATACCCAGGTTAAGGATGTCAGAACTCGGCAAAAGTGCGGAACACAGCTTATGCAGGCCTGTGGAATCCGATGCCCGTATCTTGGCGGCCGATGCTGAGGATAGGAGCTCCATGAACACTGGCCAGCAGCGGAGGCACGTCGAAACCTTGTTGTGTCCAGGCTTCAGCATGCAACCTCCCGATTCAGTATCCTATAAGGCTCAACACCTTCAGAACATGAATGCTGCCCGAACACTTTCCAGAAGCTCGTGCCGGTTACTCTCGAAGTCGTTCTCGAAAACGACGGACCTGCTCTGGGTGGCTTCTCTTTTCTGAGGCCTCAGCCTGGAACAACGAGTGTCTTGACACGACCTCGGCGTGTCAATCAAGAACAAGAGCCAGATAAGCTGGGTTCAACTTGGATTTGGTCTTTCCTGAAACCATCTGTCGGCCTGCCGTCAAAATCCGCCGACAAGTACTCCTCCAAAGATACGTAGCGCTCGGATGGTCCAGCGTAGCCGTACTGATTAAGTGTCTCGCAAGGCCGAGCTCGGAACTCCAAGCGCCCAAACTGCTCTACCTGGTTGAGGTTTTCGAGCGTCTGCAAGCTAAGTCAGCTAAGTTTGTCAGGTGCTATGCTTAGCATAGCAGTTATGGTCAGGGCTATAAGAGCGACGGAGGGCACGACTCTAGGATACTCTACGACTCCGACGTGTCTTTTCATGCCGAGGCCACTAGGAGGTCTCGTGTCCAGGATCGTGCAGCCCAGCCATCGATCAGGCCGCCCATCCGATGGGGGCGCATCTCGTCCAAGAACACGCTTGCTGTGCAGTCCTCCAGCACGAGCCCCTGCTCCTTGACAGCGAAGCCCCCGGGCACTATGGGCAGAACTCTCCATGCTGTTTAGATTGAACCGAATCTGTTTTCTCCTTCTTCCTTGGGGGCTTGATAGATTAGGATGATTAGGCCCTTCGCACGGTGAATTTGATACCTCGCCCTTTCACATGACGGACGTTTTGACTTAGGGGGCCGCTGCAAACAACTATCTGGACTGAACCTAAATTAAAAAATCCACAGCACGGCCGTGAAGTCAGCAGAGCGGGATCTGCATAGTTTTATTCAGGTGAAGTTAAGGCTCTGTGTCTGCAGCCTCGCGAAGCTCCGCGCTTGGATCGGGCCAGACGGCATATGCTTGCGTGTTTGGCGCATGGATCCCCGGCCAGCGGCGTGACTTGACTGCCAGGCGGCTGCCAAAGGCCTCGGGCAGTAAAGCTTATGCATGTATATATATATATACACATACATGAAATCCCCACGGACAGACTAATTAGGTTTGTCTGCGAGGTCTATCGGTTATTGAAGTTGGAGGCTGTGGACATTCGACAGACGAAACACAACTGGCCTTCTAACAACACCCGAGCGACGAAGACAATTGCGTTGAGAGAACGCGAGCTGGCACAGCCGAACTGCGCAGGCGGGCGGCGGCATTGGCAGCTGTGCCGCGGGTCTGCAGCGAACCGCAGACTCCGCAGAGGGGAAAGGTACGGCAACATATGCTCCCTCGTCTCAGCCGTTGTCGTCCTCATCCTCGTCGAGGTTGCCCTCCGTGATCAGGGGCACCACGAAAAAGTCCACGAGCTCGTCCAAGTGGTCGAAGATTTGAATGTCCGTCATTTTCATCGTGCGCGCGATTAAGACAAACTAGACTCAAAGTTCCCAGCTTGTGCCACTGAAACAGCTACTTGACAATGGTATCATGCTGGTAGGGGACCATGGGAACGCGCAAGTGACTCGCAACACAATCTGTGATTGCATCGATGCTACCTGACATCATCAGCAAAGGACTGCCCTGGAGTGTGCAAAAAAGGCAGGCAGGGCTGAAGCAGCATCGGCAGAACATGTCTAGTAGCAGCAGCAACGGTCCGATCATCATGCCAGGTAGGCATACTTGTGTTTGTAATCAACCCCCCGCCCCCGAGACGAAGACTTGCAACTCAGTCTCTTTTCACATCTTTGCATCACTCGACGATTATTCTGCGAGCGTAATCGCTCACATGGTCTGGACTCGTGCCCTGGGTCGGCACAGTACAACGACATCTCAGCCACATTCGGCAGCCATGAACGCGTACGACACATCTTGCCGCTCTTCTGTCCATGCCACCGCTGCTGAAATTCCGCCCATGATGGCAGGATAGAGATGTGCACGCTTGGATCCAGCAACAAGGGACGAAACGAGCCCCTTGACACGCCGCCCGATGCCATGTGACTGGGCTGCAGCATGTGGTCGGCACAGGCACAGGCACGGGGACTGCGAAGGGAACAACCACCAGCACGGGCAAAATTAAGAGCTCGGTCACGGGAGTCGTGCAGTCATGGTCGACTCTTCGTTGCGGATCCAGTACGCACCAAGCGCTCGTTGCCAGCGTCTAAGACTCGTAAGAACTTGACACAGATGAATGGATTTATGACTTGTGCCAGTTGGTCAACGTGCGAAGTCAGCCCATGTCTCCAAGCTTTGAGCAGAAGGACGTAATCACGTAGCACCTGTGGATACTGCTGCGCATACAGCACTGCCATGTGGCCGTAAGTTGCGATGCACATCTTTGCCTCGGCATCTGCTTTCTCCATATATAAGCACGAATTGCAAGAACTTTCGTTTAGAACATTTCTTGTGCAACTGCGGCTTACCGCAATTGCTACTCTGGTTTCAATTGCTGTTCTGGCTCGTTTCGTAAACTGTTGACATTCTTGCTGTGACAACAAGCGGCCAGTCTCGCCGAAGCGCTTGTATTCGGCAAGCGGCCTGGGGGGGACCAGAGCCTTGCGCTCGGGATTGCGGTGGTCAGGGGCGGGGTCGAGCGTGCCAGAGCGGCCGAAAGCCGTGATTAAACCCGACATCATGAGCTTAAGGCCTACACCCTATAGGTTTTGGGTTTATCGGGTGCCTCACAATGTTGGAAACTGGAAGCGCGCCGTTGACCACAGCCGAACTGCGCAGGCGGGAGGCGGCATTGGCAGCTGTGCCGCGGGTCTGCAGCGACCAGCAGACTACACGGAGGGGAAAGGTACGGCAACATATGCTCCCTCGTCTCAGCCGTCGTCGTCCTCATCCTCGTCGAGGTTGCCCTCCAGATGAATATGACGGAAAATTCAATTTCCGTCATCTTCATCTTGCGCGCGATGCCAAGTAGCTGTTTCAGTGGCACAAGCTGGGAACTCTGATTCTAATTCGTTTTAAATTAAAACGAATTAA